GGGCCAAAATAGAAATTCAAGCTTCGAATTGATCGTGTGCTTAGTCAGGAGTAGTTTTATTCCTAACAAATGTTTATTGTTGTGACCTTTTTTCAAATGATTTTATTTAACAGATTCTGGAGTGGGAAAGCTTCCTACGTCCGATTTAGTGTAAATATTTGTACGCACGGACATACATACAACATGTTAGTATGTATTTACATTAAATAACGTTTTCAAGGGTATTTATTCGTGTTCTAGAACAAATGTTACAAGCTATTTCTTGGTTTGTTTCATTAGACACTCTGTGCGGATTTCTCGGATAGCTATTGTAATTATATTACGTGTCATCATCACATCAACAGCCTTTAATAGTCCACTGCTGGACATAGGCCTTAGACAGGAGGTTTTAGCCTACTATACCACGCTGGCCAGACGGGTTGGTATAGGGTTTGTGTCAAGTTTTCCTTCTCTTTGCAGTGCCGTTGTCCTGCGTAGTTTGCTCCCTTAGTCGGCTCTTACGACATCCACGGAATGAATAGGGGTGGTGACATTCCGTATTCTTAATCCGTCACCACGTGGACATTTATTACGTGTAAATATTGAAAATAATTGTTAAAATATTGAGAACTGGATCTTATAGAAACGTATTGCGTACTTCTGTTGTCTTTCCGTTTATCGTTGTAACTAAGTAGTTTATTCCAAGAGGGTATAAGATCTACTCGCTGCGTGGTAAAACCGCACGCCTTCGCCGGGTACTAATAGCCGGGGAACCAGGTATACCCTAGAAAGGAAGGCCCTGGTGCAATCATTCAGGTACCTGGTTTGCGTCGTCCTCACATACAATTTGTAATCTTTTCTTTTATGGTACAATGGTTAAATGAGCAGACTTAACTAGTCATCTGCAGCTGGAACAGCGTCGGTCGAGTACTAGAGGACTCGAACTGGCTCTTGTCGAAAAATGAAAGTCAATTGAACCTAAATTGCTTGAAAACATGACACGAATATATACAATGTGCAAACCAGGCTTTAGGCACGTTCCTGATTGAGTTCGTACCGACTTAAGCACTTAGAACAAACATTTTTCGGTGTAGGTGTACTGCACCTTCAGATACAATCCGCGTCTCAAAGACGTATTAAGAAGTCATTGAGGGCATAAATCCTGACATACCACATATAAAGAACATTTTTAATATTCTGATTACACACGAGCGAACCGGTGTTGAATATTTGATGGCACATCCAGTGTGCCATGCTCATGAATTTATGAATTTCATTAATGTACATGACAGTGTGTCTTGGCCTAATTTACTTTTCAATATTTTCGCGGGCGACACGCGAAAGTAATCGAGATGACGACTCTGAACATTCATTTTCTTAAATATTCTCTATATAATGTACTTGTATAATAATTTGAATTTTTCAGCTCTGGACTAATCATCATCAACAGTCTTTCATAGTCTACTGTTGGACATAGGTCTCTCCTTAGAAATGAGGTCTTGGCCTACTGTACCAAGCTGGCCAGACAGGTTGGTATAGAGCTTGTTTCAGGTTTTACTACTCTTTGCAGTGCTGTTGCCCTGTGTAGTTTGCTGTGGACTAATATTAGCCAATTAATATTTTTGTGAACATGACAGAAATTAATGAGTTAATTATTAGTGTATACTTATGGAGGAATGGTTTTTTAGATCCTTGGTACACAAAAATGCTTCGAAAGATAATGCTGACTGGACTTTAATTGAGCGATGTAGAAATTAGTAATTATTATGTAATATGCCACAACCTCCTTTCTATGGAGAGGCCTACGAGGCATGCCTTTTAAGTTTTGTCGTTTGAAGAAAAAAACACAACTAGAACTTTATAGTACTTTTTATTGTTTTTCAAAGTATTTATTTAGCTTAATACACTTTTCCATTCGCTCAAACATGTTATTATAACATTTATTCCACTCTAAAAAGGGGGTTTTCAAAATGGCTGACTTGAAAGCGTCGACTCTTCTTCACCAGACTGGAACCTCACAGCAATGATGTTATGTTCAGTGAAGGCGGATTTGGACGTCCTTCGCGAGATTTGTAACTAGCACTAGTATGTCCACGCTGGAATTCTAAATACCAGCGTTCGACAGTCCGCAGACATGGGGCTTCATCACTGAACACAGATGTTAGCTCTTCAAAACATTGAAGCCGTATCCGGCCTCTTCTAAAGTTGTAGAAAATTATTGCACGAACATTTTCCTTAGGATGATTCATTTTCGTACGTAACCTGACAGATTGCAATCGACGCTGTGACTAAACAATAGCATTAATCCTAATACTTTCAACAGTTTTGAGATTCAAAATTTAAACACATTCGAATATAGAACAGTTCCAAATTCAAAATTGCCGGGAAATATAGAAACGACAGAACTTAAAAGGCATGCCTAGTATGTCCAGCTGTTTACTATTAAAGGCTGTTGATGATGTCATAACGTTAGCTTATCAGCGTAGATGACGTAGATGGCGTTGTAATATGGTTTGGTTTATTTGTATTGATGATGCATTGATGTTTTAAAATAACAGAAGATTCAATTTTCACATTCTAATATTGCTCAGTAACTTTCTAAGGAAAGTTTTTCAGAAGACAAATTACTTACAGCAAATTAATTTGAAAGACTTGGGAGTCTCAAATACCATATTGGAATGACTAGCAAACTTTTATAGTTGAATTGTTTAATTAAATATAAACTAATGAAAATGTACACCAGGTGTGCGCTTTAACTTTGAAAAGTTATTTCTTTGTATAGTTGAAGATCGTACTGAGGGCATCCAAAGAAATGTGACTGTACGTAATTATATTGCACCCATTTGCTATTTATTTAAATTTCTAGACTCAATCGAGAAGGTGTAAAAAAACTTAAAATATGAAGATACACGAACAATAACGAGATCACGAAAATATTAATTTTACTTTAACTTTGAATTGCCTGAGGTTTCGACCAGACTGTACTGGGCGTGGTCACCGACTGGCTCTAATTAAAGAGATTGCTCAAAAAGCGAAAATCTTAAATAGCGTTAAAAAAATATCAAAAATAAAATTTGATTAAATTAAAATACATATGTAACAGCATGTCTCCGCATATATTTAACAGACTTTAGTGCAATATAATTAAGAAATGTTATGTTTCGACCTACTTTTTTTGTCGTCCTCACAAGGAAGCCTTGTAGTTGCGCTATGTTCATCTGTATGTCGGTGTGTCTCTGTGTATTATTGAAATGGCTCAACGGATCAAGATTTTCCTCTCTATCAATGTCCCTTCTTGGAAGTCGTTGAAGGCCGTTGTCCAGCAATGGCTAGTCTCATGGCGGAGATGATGATGAAACACATCAGGAAACCCTTCCTCGTATGCGTTTCATTTTTCATCTTTACAAGCCATAATATAAATGCGGCCCCATTCAACAAATAACAATATGCCATTTTAAACAATAACGTTGCTCACGCATAAAATTCGTGTTACGTAGTACGTATCTGAACAAATAGGGGTAACGGGCTGGGCTTAAAATAATAAAATCTGTTCGTTTAACCTGAGCATTGTGGGTAAATAGTATGCGTTGGTAACAGAGCGTTAGAACGGGCGAGCTACTTGCCTATGTAAGGCTGCAACTTGCCATGAGATCCATTTCAACGTGCACTCTATGCAATGTAACATACAAACTAATTTAGAAGCATGAGGGCTTTAAAGTCTTCTTCTTCTTTCTAGAACAATTTGAAGCGTGAACGTGTATGTATCTTGTATACTGCAATTGTGGCAGTTGTTTGTTGTTTTGTGTGTTCATCAAGAGTTTTTACGTTACAATTTGCTAAATGCGTTATTCAACTTGTAAAAAGTTGCAAGAAGAAAGTTGCGTGTCGGTAAATGAGAAAGAATGAAGAAGAATACTAATAAGTGATGATGGTGATATTTATTTTTGTAAGTAAATCTTTTCAGATATTTTTACAAGTCGGACTTTACAGCTAGAAGGATTCGGCATTTCCTAAGACTCACTATGGGTAGATACAAAAAAAGTTAGAATGAACGAATGAAGAATCCTTACTGGAACTACATACCTACTAGTGAGTAGGTATTTAATTCCTTTGAAGGTTAGTCCTGCCCCTAAGTGATTTACCAATACTTTGATTATTCCTGCAGCCTTACCATTCTCTGGTGGTCCTACCATAGCCATCTAGCTTTGCTTCTGTGGTTTGTAAATTAATATAAATTGTAGGCGATTGCAAAACTAGAAAAACCACCTCATCCATATAAAGATGTCCACTATCCTCGAGTTTTTTTTTATACGTTCAAACGCACATAAAATCGCAGTCGCTTGGGAAATTACCCCTTACCGAGGTACGGCGTGTGGGGCAAACGGCGTCAGACGCATAACGTGTCTCGACAAGGTCATGCCATGATATTGCGGGTTTTGTTCATAGAAATTCAAATTTTCTTTTTAATTTACGTTAAATTATATTTAGAGAGGTGATGCTGAATTCTGATTAAACGCAAAGTAGTCGATTTTTTATCGTTTAGAGAGACTAAACTTAATAAATAACTGGTTTCCCATAATTAATTAGATTTTATTTAACACACGCCTTTAAATAAACGTAAAAATGTTAGATAAGAGACAGAGTCACTTTATTATATGTGTGTACATATTTCGCAGCGGTTTCACCTTCATGAAATAATCATACAAAAAGGCCTGGTTGAAATTATTTATTCATTCTAATGTAATTATTGGCTCAGATTGTTTGTTTTGTTTGTACTTACATTTTTATATTCGATAATTGCTCTAATAACATATTTGTAGAACTTTATCGAATTGTAATGGGACTATTATTAAATACACATATTTAAGTCCCATTAAAAAATGAAAATTATTTTAAGCAGTTTTGAAATGATTCAACTACCTTCATTACTTATTAAAAGTTAAAATTAGAATATAGGTATTATATTTTGTTAATTATGTTTCTTTTTTTTAATTGTACCTAAGAGAGGTTCTTCCAGGGGGTTAATACAAACTCTTTGTTTCCTGTTTGATATCGTTCTTACTCAATGTAGTTTTGATATCCGGTTTCACGTTGAAGACGTTTCCATCTGAAGTTGTCTTGACTGTTTGGTTAGATATCACAGTAGCTGGAGATTCCTGGGGTTCAGTTTGTGATACTGCCCCTTGACGACGGTCTACTAGAAGAGGAAATATTAAAATATATTAAAATTCTAAAACATTTAAGGAATGCTGTCTCTTTAAAAAGTTTGTTCAGAGGACAAAGCTATATTATAAAAGAATAATTATAAATATATGTATTATTTTTACTAACTTCAAAAAGCAGGAGGTTCTCATTTTGACTGATGTTCAATGTGTATGTTATGTGATATCTTTGGTATTTGTGAACCAATTTCAATCATTGTTTTTTAATTTAAATTATAACTCAAAGAATTTAAATTTAAATTTTAACAAATATTCCACCAGTACCGGCGGAATGTTAAGAGGAGTAATTTAGTAACCTCCACGTGTAAGTCATGTAGAATAACATTGCTTAAAAATCTCAAAAATGGCCGCAAAAAGCGAATAATTATTCTCAGGTATTAAGAATTTCGCCACACTATTAACGGAGCACTTTTAACGTCAGGCTAGGCATCCTAAAATCCTTTGTGAAAATGTGGTGGACCTTATTCCATGATTATTTTTCGCATGATGATGCTGGACATCTTCACTGTTGAATAGCAAATACACTTTTCTAGGCATTGCCAAATTTACATGGGTTTATCCGCCATTTTGGTTCTATTTATTAGGCGCTGCGTGAGCGGTGACGTGAATAAAAGAAATGGCAGTGGACTGTACTGCTGGTGGTTTATTCGCCAGATCTTAAAAGAATAAAAATGAAATAATGAGAGGTCGGACCGTCCACGGTGATGTTCCAGGGTGAGTGACGGCCGTTGGATGTGTGGGGTCGCGCTGATCGGGATGAGTCCCCCGTTCGCCATAGCGGTCAGGGTAGTCCCCAAGCACGTCGCGCCAATGCCCGCTATTGTGCGTTTAATTGTGTCGCAACATGCTCCCCGGGTTGAGGGCTGGAGGCTTCATAATCTGGAAGGGGACATATATTGTTTTATGCCCTGCGAATCGTGCCACGTGACGTTCTAGGCTTCGTCACTCTGGAGATGCCATCGCTTTCTGGGTAGAGCTTGATCACTCTTCTTAAAGCCCATTGAAGCGTAGGAAGAGCCTTATCGTTTATAATAACCAGATATCCCGGTTTAAGCTTTAACTTTGAAGATCCCTATTTGGTCTTTGTGTGTAGTAAGGATATATACTTCATCTTGAAGCGATTCTAAAAATGCTGCTTTATAAGCTCTATTTGCTTAAAGCGGTCAAGAGCGTTAATGTTCTTGGATGACACCTCTGGATGCTTGATAGCTACGAGTGATGGTCAAAGTGCTGGTGTTAAGACGGAAAAATCACAGGGATCAAAGGACAGTGGGGTTAAGGGACTAGAGTTTAAAACAGACTCTATTTGGGTAACGCAAGTAGCCATTTATTCGAAGGTGAAATGAGTCGGCAACCTCTGCTACATCATTAAAGTGTGGGCTAGAAACAGGTACGAATTTGATGCTAATTCCTTAACGTGCAACATGACCCTCGAGGTGCCAAAAATAATTTGGATTGTTTATTAAAAGTATTGACAAAATTACTAGAGGGCTTACCAAAATAATTTAAGGCGGCTACGTAAGCTTCGGCTACGAGCGCCGTTCGAGCTCTGACAAATCTTTACAGAGTTGCAAATTCGGCTCGAAGGACCATGTTCAAGGGGCCAAGGGGAAGCGAATAAAAGAAATGGCAGTGGACTGTACTGCTGGTGGTTTATTCGCTAGGTCTTTACACGTATATCAAAATTCAAGAATAAAAATTAAATAATGAGAGGTCGGACCTTCCACGGTGATGTCACAAAGCGGGAGTGACGGCCGGTGGATGTGTGGGGTCGCGCTGGTCGGGGAAGGCCCTCCTCTCCACCAATGGCCACTATTTTGCGTTTAGTTGTTTCGCAACGATTTTTTTTATCGAATTTTGAACAATAGTGGTAAGGCGTTAAAGAATTGAACTGTACTCGTCCTCAGAAATCTTTGCTATAAAAGACACATCAAAAAGCTCTCGTAAAATAATCTGCATGTGATTTTTTTTGCCAAATTAGAAAACCACAAAGCTGTACGGTATTTTAAAATACGGTTTTATAATGCTTTTTAACTTGGTTCTCGCTATTAAAATACAATTTTTCGAGTAATTATGTATTTTGAATTTTAGTAGCACATTCTTTGGATTTACATATTAATAACGGATTAGGTACCTCTTACGAAAAACCACCATCAAGTTCGATGATCTAGACAGCAGCAAGGTTTGTTGACCGACAGGGCAGCTCTAGGGTAGAATTCTAAGTTTCTAAGTTTAAAGGTGCCATAAGTCTCCATATATCTCAGAGAACCTTGACGTAAGCCACTATACTGCATTATTAAGATTGATAGGAATTACTAATTGATTTAGGCTATGCCACAGATAGCCATATGAAAATATATATTTAGGAAATCCACTCACCCTGGCTTTAACAACCATAGAATATTAGAATAGGAAACCCAACAGAAAATGCAACAAGCACAAATATGATATGAAAAGGAATTAAATAAAAGCGGGTTACGATTAAACCACCACTAGTCAGCCATCAAGAGTATTGTGGTTTTGACTCTCTTTATGTCCATTATGATATTTCTTAGGCAAATGTTTTCATTAGGAAAACTTGACACAAACCCTATACCGACCCGTCTGGCAGCGTTGTATAGTAGGCCAAAACCTCCTTTCTAAGGAGAGGCCTATGTCCAGTAGTGGACTATTAAAGGCTATTGATGATGATGTGATGTGAAAAGTTTTCTTCTATTCATATAAATATTAAGATATGGTAAAGACACAAACAAAATGTTTACGTCCATTGAAATTGTCATTGCTATAGCCGATTTCATTACCAGTGCTATTGCAAATGTCATTGCCATTGCTATTGTCAATGACATTGTCATTGCCATTGTCACTAAAATACATTAGTTATGCCAACTACGCGCCGTCTTATCTAAGTCAGAAGTACTTCGCAGACTGATAGATTCGATACTTTCTCAATTTCAGCAGTAGGTGTTTTGCTTTACCTGTTTCAGTGAGCCAGCTAGAGATTAGGTACATATTAGGTACTTACCTAACGACCGCCATGCTCCTTCGATTCTACGCTCGAAGATGGTGCCCATCAGTAGAAACATCAGTACTGCGAGTACCACAGGTCCGAGGTACCACCACTGCATTTGTTTCTCACTTTTAGAATGTTTCTGCACGGATCCAATGAAAAAGTAGTAGCGTATTTATAAACACTGACTGCTAAGAGTTTATATGACATTACGATGATAAAAAAAATCTCTGCAACCTAGTTTTATAAATAAGTGAGATACAATAAAAAATAAAAAATAAGCGTTACATAAGTGATAAAACTTAACATTTTGAAGAAGGGAGATATGCTTTGGCTATTGCATTTGACAGTGTATTTTGTCACAGTTTTGTCTACTCCGAAAACTTTATCTTTGAGGAATCCATTACTATTTTACGAGTAAGCAATCGTTTTAGCATTTGACAAATGTCCTATAATCTATTTGTTTTCTGTGATATTTCATCGTAACAATAAATATTCTATATTTATATTCAACAATTAGTATCAAATATTTATTGAAATACTAGATTTCTGCTCATAGTTGCATTGAAACATAGGTTTTATTGTAGAGCAGTTTTTTTTGGCTATAAACTTGGGGTAAAATTTCATGATTATCATGAAATTTTACCCCAAGTAGTTAGTTAATTCGTAAAAGTGTCAAAAAACGAACCAACTTCCATAGAAATTTACAATATCAGTTAAATGGGACTAATCCCTCCCACACGTTCACCACTGTTACTCCTGTACACCAGAACAACAGCAATGACCCACGAATACACCAAGTCATGACACTCGGGAAGTCCCAGGCAAAAAATAAACTATCTTGGAACCCACAACGAAATTAATCGGAAGAAAATTGAAGGAGTTGGGAATTTAATATAATCCACTTTGATAATCAACAGCCTTTAATAGTCCACTGCTGGACATAGGCCTCTCCTTATAAAGGAGGTTTTGGCCTACTATACCTCGCTGGCCAGACGGGCCTTCTTTTTGCAGTGCTGGTGTCATGTTATCCGCCCTTAGTCGGCTCTTACGATACCCACGGGATGAATTGGGGTAGTGACATTCCGTTTTCTTAATCCGTCACTACACGGATTGACACTTTGATAATATCAGTTAGTAATTACTTAGTATTTTGAGTCTGAGTAATGATTTACTAAATTTTGATTATGTTAATGAGATGCCTAGTGTTGAATTAGATGCAGACAATTCAGCTGATCACTATAAAATTATACTAAAAAGTTTTGCATACCAATAAACTGTTGCCGCTGTCAGCAGACATAGCTGAAGCAGCGCTTATAGAGTCCATCAGGTTGTTAGACATGTTGAATTCTTGTAAATTCTATTCCTTATTATACATTTTGCAATGAATATCTTAGTCTTCAGTTCTCTCTGTCGAAACATAAGAGTATACTTTAGATTTCACGTAGTATTTAAGATTTTGCTGTGGGAGAGGCATGTTGCGGCGCAAATGAAATGGCCTCAGAGAAATTCGTTGTTAACCATGTGTCATAAAGCAATTCTTTAGTTGCTCTTCAGCAAGTGGGAGAGGTTACCGGAGCTCAAACCCTCCCTTAACTCAATTCGGGAGGGCAGAGGGAGGGAGGGGGAGAACCCTAAGGGCTCAATGTTCTTGTAACTCTTGAGTAGTTACTTACCATCAGGTGACCTTTCTGGTATTTTTTAGTATTTTATTTATTACTTTATGTAAGTAACAAAAGTTTATAAGAAAGCGTTGGTAGCATCTTGGGTTAGGTTTAAAACGACAATCACATGAACATGGGTATTTTCTTTTCTTTCGGATATATGATGTAAAAAATGACATCTATATTTTGCAGCATAATGTTTTCAAACTTTTTCAGAAAACGTAATATTAATTACGGTTTCTCAAAAAACTTTAATTTTACATTGAGATTACTAGAATCATCGGCCGGTTGGTCTAGAGGCTCTTGGCAGTGATCTTGACTGCTGAATGAGAGGTTTTGGGTTTGATCCCCACCCAGGATAAACAATAGTATGATGAGTACGATCATTTAGGTCTTTTTTTTTACGTGTGGAAACCCCTTCGGGCCGTCACCCCACTGGGGTGTTGTGCGGGGTGGTGTCGGAATCGGACCGACTAAAACCACACGCTGTACCACTCTGCGCCTCTAATAGGAGGGCTCCGGGATCTGCTATCATTAAGGCATCCGGACCCCTCCATGATCATTTAGGTCTGAGTCTAATTTATCTACAATATAACTATGTTTATCAGCAGTAAAGTTATCAAAGTGCAGGCTCTGCCTACGATCAGACGGCCGTGTGTGAGATATTTTAAGTTATTTTATTAGATTTCTTCTACTATGTAAATTTAACTTAAATAACACAGATATACTTACCTATTATTTCTATATTTTATTTCGTATTATTGTATTGAATTCATTTTGTTATTATTTTATTCATCCATTCTGTAGATTATTTCTGCTGTTAACGTTGGCAAGTAACAGTGACGGCAAATGTCATTATTACTTTTAATGTGCATAATACGTCTCTAAAAAGTTTTGAATAAAGTTAGTGATTTAGGTTTTTTTTTTCCAATTAAGGTAGGCGGTTCTTTTTAACACTGGTGGTGTTTTGTACACTCGTGGTTTAAGAACTCGTAGCTTAGAGCTCTTTCATTTCAGCTTGCGTAGCTTAATTTGTTTGAGTTGGAGAAAAGCTGGATGTAAACATCTCACTTTAACTTATTGCTGCAGACAAACAACGATCCTCTCTTGTAAATTATTATACTTTTTGCGACCTCTACATACAATGCCATCTAACGAAGACACACTGAACTATAAAGTAACTGCTGATCCTGCATCGCGATATGAAAAATTCTCACACCGATTGGCTGCGGCTCGCCCGGCATGGTCACCTCGCCGGTTTCAAGGATCCTTCTTTGTACTGGAAGGATATAACACCCGCCTCTTCACATAAAATGTTAATGCCTATGTTTTTGATGCAATCAGCAAAATTTTAGGTTCTTTGTCCTTGCGTTGGTGATTTAATTCAAAGAAAAGTTTTAATAAAAAATGGGCTTTTACATGAGCGGTTTTATTAAAGGTTGTTCTGGCTTCTTACTAAACCACTAGGCGTTTAGTTCAGAAAATAGAGGCCGGGCACGATAAACGCAGTTTTATTAAGAAAGTTAGCCTGTACTTAGCGATAGTTCGAAATCACGATATGCTGAAGTAAAGTGGAAACTTTAAAACTTTATCCAGCAAGATCGCCCGTAATATGGAAAGCGTACAGTGGCTCGTGTTAGCATATATTACTTTTTCTTTAAATTAACTGCATTATGAAACAAATTGAACCAAGCCTTTCTATTCTGTTTAATCTTTATTGAGGTTTGCATATTTAAGAACGTTATACATTATATCAGGTTAGATTGTTACTTGGCATTATTATTTGTAAAAAGCATCATCAGGTAGTAATTAACCATTGAGTGTTTTCTTAAAAATGTTACAGATGTTTACTTTTACTTCTTGGTAAGTTAGGACTACAATATGAAAAACAACTTAATATTTGACCAGTTCTTAGGAGTTTAAGCAGTCAAACTTTAAGTACGCTGCTTCCTACTATGCCGAGTGTTGTGGGTTTAAACCCCACATAGGACGACACTTGGGTGTTCTTTGTGTCCGTTTCATGTAGGTTTGTAAAGTCCCCTGCCACACAGGATATAAACCTAAAAGGGCGTTGTCTTTTTCAAATAAGAAATAATTCTAGAAGGACTTCATTAACATTACATGTACAATACAACAATATATACGAGTATTTGTCTTAGATCACTGCTAAACGTAGTCATTCCATCTAAATTCCCTTATATATATAAATTAATTACAACAGTACCTAACAATATCAACTCCAAAAAAGTATGGTCAGCATTCGCGTGATTCTCGTCACGCGCCGTGACAGGGGTCTGGTACGGTCAGCACAATTTGTCTCTGCGCCGCAATACATCCATCAATTACGTTGCAGATATCGGGATGCGGGAGAGAAAAATGTTGGCGCACCTCGCTAGTTTTGAGAAGGAGCAACCTTGGGAGAGCTTTTAGTTTGCATATTGTGATGTTTGGTGTGTAAGACACGTTCACTCGGCATCGAATACTAGAAGAGCACCCTTATTTTTATAAAGGTGCTTTTCATATTTGAATATTGTGTCTTAATCATGTGCGTCAAAATGTCATGCTTATAAAAATCTTAGACTATTCATTTTTTTATACACAATATAATAGACTAGCTTTTTGTCGTTGTCTGTCTAGAGGACGGAAGATAATTTTTAAATTTAAGCGGCACCATCACTTAATCAGCGAACGTGCAAAGTGCTGGATGCTGAGAGTCTGTTAATATAGTTTTAATAAACATCAAAAGGGATAAATATATTAAAGAGAATAAGACTTAATAAGTAAAAAAATAAAAAGATCTGCCTTTAATACGTATATGTGTCTACTTCGAGTAATATCTTTTGGGAATTTTCTTTGCAAATGTTATTGTAATCTCACGTCATGTTGCATGGCCGGTTGTTGTATGAAGCAAATACTTCATATATTATGCAGGTAAAGGCCTGGAAAATTGGGATCTGTACGTTTTGGGTTGGCTCAAGAATACGACCCGTAATAAGATAAATGCACATTGAATTCATCAAAACAAATTCTGGACTCTATAATCTATGTTTTAATACGTGAGGAGAATTCTCTGTACGTGTTTTTTATGCCAAGGCAATGAAATTTGGAATAAGTACTTGAAGTTTATATGTAAAGTTAAAATACATATAAACGGCTACAGAAAATTATAGGCCCTGGTGTATATTTATATATAAACCACCCTGGTTATATACAAAAGTCCGTGAAATGATGGTTAAAGTTTTACTGGCTGTTGAAATAAGACTTTCAAAGTAGTCGAAATTCGGTTAGACCCTTTCAGTGTATGATAATTCTCAGCGCTGTTAAGTCCTTAATACCTACTTATAGTTTATAGTAAAGGATAGAGTTTACATAAAACATAAAAAAAAAACTGTTTTTACTAAAATAATTTATGTACTAAGACTTTAAGTAATTCCTTGCTTAAGTATTCCTACTTGAATAAAACAGTTGAAATGAAAAAACAACCGTCTAAACGTATAAACAAACCAATAAATTAGTTCCTGCTGCATATTTAGAAATGCTGCATAGTTGAAGTCAGTTTACTCCAACTCTCCAACCCGAAGACTATGAATCCTGGAATATTACATTCGTTTATTGATTGAATATTCTTCATGAAAATATGCGGTATTGTTTTCCTGTAAACCTTTGAGTGATGCCGAGATGTGTATAGTATAAAAATATACAAGGAAAGAAGGGAAAATATATATTATATTGAGAAAACTAGTAAACCCATCCCCAGGACCTGATAATTAGAGAAATAAATATTTCTTAGCAGCGTATGTTATTAAGACAAGGAGGTATTACAAATATTATAATTAATGACAGCGAGACAGTTGCTAATGAGTAATAATGATGCGTGAATACACATGAATACTGAAAAGAGCGGGACATAATAACTATTAATAACGATTTTGATGTAAACAGCGGCGGTATCTAGTGTATAATGGGAAGCTTAATTATATTTACGTCTTTGTTTAATGTGTGTTACACGAACACAGGTCTGGCAATATTATTTTATTTTACCAGAATAAGCAGGTTTTTTCATTTTATTTAAAAAGACAACTCCCGCTTTAGGAATATGTCCTGTGTCGCTGGGGACTTTACAAACATACCAGAAACGGACACAAAGAACACCCAGACTCAGAACAACAATTTGTGGATCACACAAAGTGTCGTCCCATGTGGGGATCGGACCCACAACACTCAGCGTAGTAGTGAGCGGCGTGGCGACCGCTTAAACCACTACGCCATCCGTGCAGTCTGTCAGGGTTTATATTGTATTTCTTTGGCACGCTCTGAATTCTAAACTTGTTTTGGCTTTTGAGGTGCCGTTAGATTAGTTTTAATTGTGATAGTGACACTGGGTAAATGAAAAACATAAAAACTAAAATCGCAATTTTGTAAATTTTAAATTTACCTTTACATTTTACACAGTCGAGTTTTTAGCTCTTTTTCAATGGTCAGCTTATTTCTGATTTATTAGACAGTGCCACCTAGACCGATATTTGGCGTAGCATGTACTATTGGTTTTAGGATACAGGTATATATACTTAGACACATTTTTTAAAGAACTGCACATTATGCAATTCGGAATATTTTAGTGACGTATGGATACGATTTATTCAGAATTTTTACAAATCGCATGATGTGTTATGATCGT